ACCCCAAAAAAAAAGAAAAAAGAATGAAACACTGAGATTTGAAATTAAAATTGAAAATATAATGCATTATTTCTTTTACATTTTATCACTTTTTACAGCGTTTAATTGTATATCTTTTTAAACTTTTGACTATAAAAATTAATTTTTTAAAACTAATAAACAATATCGTTACTGTCTTTTTGTTCATAAAACAGTGATAATTCTTTGTTTAGAGAAGGAATGATGGAAATGATGGCTGATAAATTGCTGTAACTCCAAAACAAAAAAGCTTGACAAGTTTTTTTATTTTTATGTTTTTAAATATTTCGCACTTTTTTTCTGAGTTTTTAGTCAAAAGTGATTTAAATTCTGTTGTCAACAAAGAAATTTTAGCTTTTGGGAACAATTATCTAATGTAATCTGTTAATCGCTGCACTTGTTAAGCGGTAAAAAATGACAAAAACGCGCAATGTTTTCTCAATTTTTTTTCGAATTGAAAATATGCGCAAAAGAAAGTTGTGAAGAAAGATTTAAAATAATGTCGTAGTTTGCTTTTTCTAATCTGTCTTTTGTTCCTTAATCAATCTTTATTTCTTAGCTGTTGAAACTGTTCTGTATTTAAAAAATGATAAAACTCAAAAATAAAACAATATGAAGTCGCAAAAGCCTTTTTAGTTTATTGAACGTTGCAAACTGTAAATGTTGACAGCTTATTTCTGCTGCACTTTATTGTTTTCAAGGAGATGGACGATTTGGTATTACAATTACGACAACTGGTTGACACCGATCCGTCAGAAGCTGCATGTATTTTTGTGCAAGCAAAATCGATTTTGGATGAAACCGATCGTCTGATTAGCAGTAAATTGCCAATCACCTCATCATTCGTGCAGCAACAACAACAGCAGCCGACAAATGCCACTTCTTCAGCAACTGTATTACCAAAAAATGAAGCGGCTTGGCGACAGTCACGAATGGCGCTAATGAAAAGAAATTTTTGTAGAAATAGAATTTTACCAGAAAAAACGGTTCAATCGTTTCACCTCTTTTTTTTTTGTTTAAATTATTGTTACCATTTAGAAGTTGTTTTGCAGACTACCACAATGCGATTCACTACATTTGCTGATGTTGAAGATGCCGCTGTTGAAAAAGATGGCGGACAACAAGATATAAGTAACAAAAACTATTTTTTTCCTCATTTGCGCCACGCATTCAAAAAGTTTAAAGAACGCGATAAAGCGAAACAGTTCAGCAGTCAAGATTTTTTGGGGAAGAAAAATGAAAACAATGAGGATGGGAAACGAACTGGTGATGATGTCAGAGATCTTTGGAAGACTCAGGTTGTAGTTTTGATTTGCTTTGCTAAACTGTAAAAAGACAAGAAACTTTTTACATCTTTTTTTCTGTTTTCTTCTTTTTTCAAATTATGCTTAATATACTTATTACAAATGTAGCACAAAATTTCAGCTTGAATTCTTTTGTTCGGTTCTTGGCTTTATGGTTGGTGTTGGTAATTTCATAAAAT